ATAGAATTTGAAAGGGTCCACCTCTCTACATATTTTAGAAAAATTGTTGAATAAAAAGCTTTTCCTAAACTATTAAATTAAAAAAGATTAATTATCTCGAACTATTCTTCATTTTAAAATTTAAATATTTTGACTAGCATAAAACACAGACAAAATATGTTTTTTACCATTCGATAGCCAATTTAATGGTCTACAACCGATGTAGGATTGTTTTTTTCAAACAATGCTGCCTCAGTTTCTTATAATGATAATGTCAATGACCATTGGACTTTAAAGGATTAGTTATATCATTTGGCAAATATTTTGGATTATGTCGATATAAATTAAAGGACTTTGGTTTAAAAAAATATTTGTCAAAGAATATCAATTAAAAAGATGTAAGATTATTTCAAAAAACTTATGGTTCAGGTCAATCTGAAGTAGACATTTTATTAGTGGTTAGTTAGACCTGTTTGAAAACTAGAGTTAAAACTAGCTTAAACGCACAACCCTTCTGGATTAAGATAGAGACGATTGTTTCCGAAAAGAGATATCTCTCTATATATCCCGGTTGAAGAAACTTGACTTTTTCAATGAAACCAATTTGAAGATGCTGTATTTTATTTTATTTATCTTCATAGAACGAGTATTTTCTAATCTACATTTTTCACAGTCTTGATGAATAAAAAAACAAAAAACATTTTCAGTTTTAAAGTTGTATCTGTTTTCTTTTCTTTATTGGCTTCATTATCACCACTACTAGAATTACAAATAATAATCACAAATTGGAACAACAAAACAGAATTTGATAATTACTTCTTATCATGATTCATATCATCTTCATCATCATCACCACTCGACTTCTCTGAAGCTATGACTAAATACACAGAACATTGCCATAGAAGAAAACAAGATATAGATCTAGAGATTTACCTTTTCGAATAAATTCTTTAACGAATTTTGGATGAAACGACGTACTGCTGGATAATCATCGGCTTGTGTTGGACCGGTTTGTTTATCTTTTTTTTATCAGTTCCATTTCTATTGTTTTATTCAACACAAATTCACATAGACCATATAAAAACGTGAACAAAAAAAGCAACTAACAGATAAAGCGACTTAGCGCTAAAACAGTAATCATATTTATATTTTTCACCGATGGATCAAATTGTACACAGTATGCCAGTGTCAAACTTTAAACGTAAGCTATGCTGCGAACGTGAGATCAGGTCTAAAACGCAACAGAATCTATGCACAAAGAAAGAGAAAGAGGAAAACACAAAAAACAACAAGACACTCTTCTACGTGCAGAGACAGAGGTTTGAGACATTAGTTTTACAGCATTCTTTTGTTTAAAATGATGTAAATAACACGTCCTTCTTTAGTCACAATTCAATGATCTTCCTGCAACTTTTTCGAGAGAAACGCGCTGAAACTATCGATAGTAGTCATAAAGTCAAAATTTGTTTTCTTCCAAATTTTTCTTGGAGTTTACTCCTGAAAACGAACATAAAAGTCGAAAAATAATTGCTAAGCACGCGGAAACAAGTAGGTGAGGGAACTAGGAATAAATGTGTCTAATCAGAATCTTCTAAAAAAACGTTCTCGTGGAGAAACGTCGCTCCGTTCAGGTTCATCTGGAAGGACATCGGCTACTTCACGGTCAATCATGAAGTGCTTTCGGAGCAACATACGTGTCTTCAGGAAAAATCATAAAGTTCATGTGGAGAAACATCGATTTCTTCAGAAAAAAATATGAAGTTCTTGTGCATAAACCGCGTTCTTTTCATTAAAAACATAAAGTTCTGGTGCAGAAACATCAATTTCTTCAGGAAAACACACATAGTTCTTGTGGAGAATCATCGCTTTCTTCAGGAAAAATATGAAGTTCTTGTGGCGAAACACCGATTTGCCCATGAAAGAACGTGAAGTTCTTGGAGAGAAACGGCGATCTCTTCAGAAAAAAATATGAAGTTCTTGTGCATAAACCGCGTTCTTTTCATTAAAAAACATAAAGTTCTGGTGTAGAAACATCAATTTCTTCAGGAAAAACTATTAGGTTTTTGTGGAGAAACATCGCTTTCTTCAGGGAAAAACATTAAGTTATTGTGGAGCTACATCCGCGTCCTCACGAACAAAGTTAAAGTTCTTTGTTAGAAACATCGCTTTCTTCGGGGAAACACTCGAAGTTGTTGTGGAGAAACACCCGCTTCTTCAGGAATGGACACGAGGTTCTTGTGGATCCGCTTCGTGACGAAAAACTTAAAGTTCTTCGTTGGAAATATCTGTTTCTTCAGGGAAACACTCCAGGTTTCTCCTGGGAAAAACATGAGGTTCTTCGTTAGAAACATCGTTTCGATATTCGCATTTGGACCCTCGAAGTTGTTTTGGAGAAAGAGAGGAAAAAGTTCTTCGTTAATAACGTCGGTTTCATCGCGGAAACGCTCGACGTTGTTGTGTAGAAACGTCGATTTCGTGAGGAAAAGACAGGAAAGAGTTTGCAGTTCTTGTGGTGAAACATCCGCATTTTCAGGAAAGAACATGAAGTTCTTATGGAGAAACATGGGTTTCTTCACAAATGAATACGCGGTTCTTGTGGATCCGCTTCCTGACGAAGACACTTAAGCTCTTCGTTAGAATACATTCAACTTTTTTAAAAAGTTGTGATCTTCTCAAGTTAGTAAGTATATGTCAAGGGGGACAAAACTGATGTGAGGATTTTGAACATTTCAAAAGATTTGGAGGAATTTAACCAAGATATGGGGAGATTTTCAAATCAGTTTTTTTTTGTGTTTTTTTTGTGGTCGAAAATTGAGTAAAACAGCCATAACTCTTGAAGGAAGAGCCGTCGGCCGAAATTCTTTTAGACTTTTTACCTACTCGAGGTCCCCTATCGAATGATGTATGAACGAACGAAATCGGAGGGTAGACCTGGGAATGTTCCCTCGTGAGGGAGATGGGGGCTTAGACAGAAGCTGAGTATGTGAGTATACAGAATATCGCGTGGTTTCGAATAAAAGTCTTCGTTTGATTCCTCATTTTCGAAGAAGAACAAACGTACTGGCATTTTTTAGGTGGAGAAGGTTATTTTAAGGGATTCCAGCATACTTCATGGGATTTCATTGGACTCCATGGGACTTCAGTGGGCTTCAAGACTTCAGGGAACTTCGAAGTCCTGAAGTCCGCGTTTTCCCTCTTGATTAAAATCATGCTTTTATTGTCGCATTTTCGGTGTCATCATTTATGGACAAAATGGCAAAAGGGCCCGGTAAAAAGTTGATAAATGGAGAACAGGCAAAAGAGCTCGGAATTTCCGATTAATCCTGAGAGAAACAGTACATGTAAAGAAGTAAAATTACATAAATTAACGAAAAAATCATACTACAGTATCAATGTTTACATGAATAGTAGTGTAATCAAAGCTTGTCTTTGTCAAAGCATATTTTGCACCTAATATTAAAAAATTCACTATTCACTCAAAAAACACCAGACCGAGTTCAGAACTTCAGAATGTAGAATATTTAAGCTATTCTACATCATGTTTATAGGAGAATGTTGTAGTGCGTCTTAGGAATGAATTATCCTGTGTATTCTTAAAGTAGCCGCGGCTTAAATGCCGTAAATTTTTGGCGCACTCGGTTAGGTAGTTTTAATGTTGGTATAAGTGCGAAAAAAATTAAACGTCAATAATGGTGTTTGGGATGCAGCAGAGGCCCTGATCTAAGGGCGAACAAAGAAAGGACTGTATCTTTGATTCTTCTTGGTCGATTATAAGGGCAGTTTTATTTTGCCTTAAATACATTACAAAAGAACTGTAATCAATAATTATTCATTCAAGATAAAATTGAGCTTGTAATAGTCTAAATGCACTTGAACTACACTTAGACTACATCACTGATTATATACTAATGGCAAAATATGCTTTGTCAAAAGACTAGCTTTGATTACAATACTATTTATGTAAACATTGATGATCGAAAATGTGACAATAAAAGCATGATTTTAATCAAGGGGGAAAAAGCGGACTTCGAAGTTCCCTGAAGTCTTGAAGTCCACTGAAGTCCCATGGAGTCCATTGAAATCCCATGAAGTATGCTGGAATCCCTTAAAATAATCTTCTCTACCTAAAAAATGCCGGTACGTTTGTTGTTGTTAGTGGTGGCACTTTACTTTTACTTTGTGGAATATTGTGGAATATTTATCGGAACGTTATACAGAAGTTTAGAAAATAGACCGTAGAAATTTATTTTAATCGAAAGAAAGTATTTCTTACATTAACTTATGTATGAAACAATCTGTATCATCTATATTTGAACAACCTAACACTATTTAGGTCATGAAATTAAGCGCTATGCCATGGTTTCGTGCTTTGTCAAAATGGTTACTAGTAAGAAAAAAAAGTATGTAAATATTATGCTCAATGCTCCGATACTTTTGAAGAGTTTCGTTAAGTTTCTGACCATGTTACACCACTATTTATGAAGGGTTAAACCATCAGAGACTATAAAAATCGGTCTTCGTTATTTATGGTGAAATTAACGGTCTTACCAATTAAACTAACTGGTTCTTCTCACATGTACGAAAGAAATTCAGCTAACCTAAATGATAAACGAAATTTAAACATTGTTGAGTAAATCTACATTTTATTGACGGATCATATATACAATATTAATATAGTGAGTATTTCTATATTGTTTTCAAGAAGTAAACTGTAGTGTTAGAAAGAATACTCTTCTTGTAAAAATAGGTTCGATAGTGGTGGACTATCTTAATAACAACTAAAACAAGCACTACAGATGTATACTCTGCTTAAATTAAAGAAGTTAATAAATAGGTAGATAATATTCAACTTTCTTTAGAACACAATAGGTATATTGTTTTCTTTATTAGCTATATTTTCACGATTTATTCCTACCAATTTATAATAAAAACGATAGTCCTTTTTTTAAAAATTTTATAATTCAGGAGGAAAACTGTTTGAAACGCTACAAATCTTTTCATTACCACACTTAAAACTTAGATTATGATAGGCAACCTTTAAACGGAATCTGAAATCCAATGGTCAATGGTTTTTCTCGATGCTGTCGTGAACGCTCTCTTAAACACTAAGGAGAACCGTCTAACGGTCCGGTTATATTGCAAAATGTGCGCGGAGTGGTAATCTAAGGAATAGCGCCGTACCTAAAAAGATTCTGGAAAGAGAAGATAGTTCAGCTCCTCAAGAACGGCAATTGAACGGCGATTCTTTTTTCAACCACAGAGGATCGAAACCAACTGGCTGTCGAATTTCTATAAATAATTCCCCAAATTTCTAGCTTCTTGGAAATTATTTATAGAAATTCGACAGCGAATTTCCAAGAAACTGAAAATTCGAAGAGGGATTTCCATTAATAATTCAGATGAAAACTGCATTCGTAGACAAGCCAAGAAAACCTCTCTATGCATTCTCGGCAAGAAAAAGATTGAATGAAGAGATAAAAAATTCTCCTGTAGGGTGCATAATATGTTTGAGATTTAGGCATAATTCTCACACAGAACAGCATAAGTCTCGTGTAAAAGCATTATTCCAGTGAAAAAGTTTCTATAAAATGATACAAGATTCTCGTGTAGAGAGCATAATTCCTTCTAGACTAGTTGCATAATTCTCGTGTAAAGGCAATGGCAAATCTACAATGGCAAATCTATTACAACGTGGTGAAACAAAATAACTATGCTCTGCAGCACTCTTGCTGTTCGGTCCCGCTTTCAACAATTCTGAAGCCGCAGGAAATACTAGGAGATCTTTGTTTAACTTACCGTAAGCAGCCATAAATTCTTGTCATCATTTTTATTTGTTGATATTATCGTAGGTAATACTTGCGCTGATGTAATTGGTGGGATTATTGTTTGACCAGACGGTAGTGTAACTGGTGATGAATTATATGTCATTATTGGTACATTATCACTTGAATTTGTTGATCTAGGAATTAGATCAACTGTTGGCAACATGGTTGTAACTGCTGTTGTTGGTGATACAGAATTTGACAGAGTAACTCTAACAGGATTATTTTTGTTGGCATGGTATAACATTTTTACGACGGCATCTCAACTCTCAGAATCATCTCCTATGTATCATTTTGTAGTATCAAAAGCTCGCTTTTTATGTAAAATGATTTTATAAAAATGTTTTTCTATTATATGAAATATAAGTTACTTAGTTTTAGAAGAAACGTAAAAAAGTCAGAGAATGCCAATATATTTTTATTAATCAGTCCTAAATATGAACGATTGGTTTTGGTACTGTTGAGAGAAAAATAGTTAAAGAGATGAATTATTAATGTGATATTGAGTTTCTGAGATACTTGCGTATATATGGTCTAACACCAAAATTTATCCGATTTAAGCTCCGGAAGAAACATATGCACAATTCATTCCATGTCAAAGTATTCCAACGAAAAATGTTAGTGGCTGAGCTTCGAGAGAAAGAACGGAATTTGAAATTACTTTGAAGTCAAATTCAGTTCGGTTTAAAATCTCTTTATCCGAGACTCTCGACATTGGATAACCATAGAATAAAAAAATTTGTATGTTTTGAGTTTAAAGAGAGGTCTCCACAAATTTGGTATTACAAATATAGGATTTGGATGTCGAAAGTATCAGACACTGGGTAGCAGTTTCTCACATAAATACAAAGGAAAAGATCATAGAAAAGTTGGAGTTGTTTATTGTGTAGAATGCAAAGATTGTGCTAACATTTACGTTGAACAAACAGGCAGTGAAGTTTAGAATGAACCAGCATAAGAAGAAAATAGAAAATGATGATTTGTTTTCAAAAATATCTGTACACACAATCACATTGTAAATCTAGACGAACCATATATACTGGCATATGAAAAAAATGAAATTAAAAGACAAATAAACGAGACGCTACTGACGCACGAATAAAAAAAGCTAGCCTACAATGATATTTCATTAAAGATAGTGATATTCGATTAGACAGTCTAGAAAATAACAGTCCAGAATAGAAAAATGTAACCGTCACTCAATTCTATACTACATATTTTTCTACGTTTAAGTTTTTCTGGTATTTTCATTCTCCCCTTTTTCAACTAGTATATATAATCATCTCTCTTCTAAATTCACAGTCATATTAGCCTGATGATGATACTGCGAAGTATCGAAAGCTCACTTTTTATGTAAAATGATTTTACAAAAATGTTTTTCAATTATATTAAATATACATATCGTTATTGTTTCTTATCTAAACATCGTCTGATAGGTAAGCTTATACAAGATAAATCCCATTTTACATGAATAGAGATGAATCAGTTGAGTGTTTTATTCTTTAATGCAATCTTTGGAAAATAGCTTTCCGAAGACGGAGACCCTCTTAAGAATTCCGCGTTAGGCTCTCGATGCCACGAAGGTTCTGTTATGCTGTGTATTCGCCATCTATTTTTAGCAAACGTAAGTTTTTTGCCTATACTTCCTTTTTTGATTGTGCTACTTTTTTAGTTTTAAAATAGTTCAGTTGAAACTAGAGAACCTCAGTCTGACCTTTATCCTCAATCGATAAAATTCCACTCGGACTACGCTTTAATAGCCAAAGTATTGTCTGTTTTAATGTGGTGGTTCAAAATGGTTTTTTTCGTTTAGGTTCAAAATAGGTTATCAATGGCGTAACCTACAACCTAACCTATAAAACGTTTCATAACCTAGGGGTTTACTAACCTAATAGGTTTAGGTTGTGAAAATTCTATAGGTTAGATTATAGTTTGTTAGAAAGTCGTAACCTGCAGGGCTCTAGTCCAGATACGTTTTAGCGTCATATTATATTGCGCGCTTTTTTGCGTAGGATCACCAAGTTCACAACATTTCTCCTTACCTTGGCTGCTCACGCCTCCCTTTGGTCGGCGTTTGAATTGTCATGAATTCAGAAGTGTTTTTAGACCGCAAGGTATGCTCGAGGGTCTTGAGAAAACGTTTTAGATTTATATTAGATTACGAAGCTTACACATCAAATCAGAGAAAAGTTTATAACATATTTAGATAGTCCACTAGCGAACACCGACCGAAGGGGAGTGTGAGCGTTGACTTTGATTGCAAGACATGGAAGGTCGTTCGCAGATATAAGTTCATAAAGTCAAGGGACAGAGCGAGTGCAAACGAGCGTTAGCTTGTTTTATACGTCTATGGCTTGTACTTTATTCAATTATAGACCATAATTCTATATTTGTCACCAGTTTTAGTTTTTTTTAACGTACGTCCGATACGAATCAGAAACATCGAATCAGACATTGAACTACTGTCATGATGAAGCAAGGAGTTCACTATTACATCACATGGTACAGCCTTTATGTTACATCTAAACTTCTTTACATTGTTAATTAACCAAATTCATATAAAACACCTTCGCACTAAGAAGATTCATATTGAAAAGTACGCCTTCTATAATATCGAAGATATTATCGTACAAAAAATATTATTATGTTAATCATGATTGTAGATAAGACAAACAGCAATAGTGCTCACATTCTTCTATGTATGTATTAATAGTGATGTAAAATTGTTTGTCGTTAATATGAAATAATGATAAGAATCGAGACTTCCTTTCTCTTTAGTCAAGCTTCGAACATTTTCACCGATGTCTTTCTCTCCTGACAAATAATGATATACATAAAATAACGCATGCAATTGAAAATAATGAACTCATTATTACCTATCAACAAGATAGTATCCATATCACATTATCGACATCGGTTTACGTTAAACTATCAAACTTGCCTAATAAAATCTGTACTCTAATTAAATGAAAGTTTACCAGAAAAATACAAAGCAAATTTTCTTCTACATCACCAACAAATACAAAAAGAACTTATAACTTGTTATTACTGGCTAATGAAGATATTAAACAAATATTAAAACGTGATTTGTATTTTGTAATGATGAAACTAATCAAATACGACATTATTAAACGTGTAAGATAAGCAGAGAAGGTCTGTAAACATAACTGTTCAAACTTATTTAAAAAGATAAGTTTTCTTACTTTATAAATTGAAACACTGATAATATACTTTCTTATTGTCAAAAAGAACTCATAAGTGACTGAGATTTTGTCTATCTATGATATCGATTGAAATAAAAAAATAAAAGTTTATAGAAAATAATTCAGGCAAAAATTAGATAAAAAATGAGCAAAAAGTGAAGTAAGAGTTGATTGTTTAGCACCATTTATTGTCGTCTCTCTTGGACATCTGGTCTAGGACCACCTCAATCACATAAAAAACAAATCAAACTAAAAGGTATGTGTAAACGATATCTTAAAGATCGGCTTGTGAGTGAGGCAAGCAAATTTAATGAAATTACGATATGAAACAGAAATGAATATGATTCAAGAAAATGAAGACAATTTCGGTATCAACAAAATTAACAGGACATATGGAAAGAAGATGCAAATTCCGTCGAGAGACAAAATCTTATTTATACACACGTCCAAAAGTGGTCTAGTGGGAACAGCCTGGAGGTCTCGGACCAGCTTTGCACGTATCTGAAAAGATAGGTGAATAAAAGATCTCATTGCTTATTTCTAGAGACAAATAATTGATTTACAGCAGTAAAGTGTGCTTCATTAGATTCAAAAACTGAATCAATTGATTACACATTTTTTAGAACCATCCATTATAAGTGAATTTAATCTTTTTCATAGCTCTGTTTTTCGATTTGTTGTTTTATATAAAGTCTTTTTTTTCTTCTCTTTGATAAAAAGTTATTCTGTGTCAAATATGAAAAAGAGACAAAACAAAAAATGATTCTGACACTGACGCGAAACACGCATGCACAAATAGATACTTATAAAAAAACAAGAACAGCTAACAACAACCTGAGATAGGGCGTATTGAAATAGAAAAAGAAAATAACATTTTTAGTTAAAAAAGAAACTCTATGTACATACACGCTCACGCAAACGAGTATTTTCTAAAAACAACAAAATATTTGACGACAAATAAGAATGAGACAATAGTTTGTTTCTTTTCTGAAAATAACTCGCAGGTATTAATTGACAAATGGATTGTTGGAATCTGACATATAGATAATAGAAAACAAATGAATGAACGTTCTGATATAGTTTTTGAAATAGAACAGACGAAAATTGCACAAATAACAAAAAAAAACAGTCGGTTATTGCTAATATTTTGATACTAATGTCGCCAATTCTCGTTTCATATGGGAGGAAAAATTGAAAACGTACAAAAAAAACGAATCTGACATTTTGCATTAGAAAAAAAAGCACGCCCACACGAAACTATGAAACAGAGGACACTTTACTGTTAAACCCAAGAATCGGGCGATGTAGAATGATCCCAAGTCGATTGGACTTGTTGTGGACGATGTTTATGCACTGTTGCATACAAGTCCGCATGTGGATCTCTGGTAGGTAGTATCTAAAAAAAATTATTAAGTTGTGCCATATTATTTTCAAACAGAAAAAAATTAAATAACCTACCCCGTCGCCATATGGTCGCGGAAGATTCTCAACACTTTGATTCATTTTACGCATTCGATATTCTTCACCTAAACAAGTACAAAGAATGAAACAACTCGAACTTATACTTATATACAATAGTAACAGTTACAATTGATCAAAAATCAACTTAGAATCATCTCAATTTTAAATGTTTTTTTAAGGCTAAAACCTCTTGAACTATTTTAAAATAACACATACCTCCTCCGTGTTTTTGTGGTCTAACAATTTGTTTTCCTTTACTTAAATAAGACGTTGGTTGTCCTAGATCTCCTCTAGGTCGATGTAATGTTGATTGTGGACTAGATGTTAATGATTTCGAATTCAATAGACGATGATGTATAAAGTCACTTTCTTTGTAACCATGTTTTTTATATAATTCTTGTAAACTTCGATGCTTCCACATTGTACTTAAAACATGTGCGGTATATTTGATTACTTTAGAATTAAATGTATGTGGTTTACTATTCATTATGAATATCATTCGTTGAACACCCTCTTTTTCAAATAAGGACTTAGCATGTGCATCATTGACTCGTATAATTTCATTAATTGCAGCTAGAACAGAAGCTATTGTTTCATCTGAATGTCGTCGACGTTGATCAGTTTGTTTTGGTAATACATCAATTAAATCTTTCATTGCATAAGTACCGAGTACTTCACGATTGGTTGGATCAATAGCTAAATTTCTCAATGCAATTGCTGAGACATTAACAACTGCATCACATTCATCGACATGTAATAAATCAACAAGTTCCGGTAAACCGCGAGCTTTTCGTACTTCTGCTCTTAAATCATTCGATGGTTTCCAATAACAAGCAGTGAGATTTTGTATACAACCAGCTGTTGCTTCAAGAGTATCAGGATTACTACTATGTCTTAGTAAATGAACGTATGTTCCAATAACATCTGTTTGCCAAAGTAATTCAACTGGACGTCCTTCGCGTGGTGCCAAAATTGCATAAATATTTGATGGTGGTTCACGACTCTGTTCACGTTGTTGACGATTGTTTAACTGATTTTGTAAATATTGTTGCTGTTGTTGTTGCTGTTGTTGGAGTTGTTTTGGTTTTCTTTTTGATCCCATACAACCTGTTTTTATCTTATCATCATGGTGAGTAGGATTAACACTCCACGAAGATGATGTTGAACTGGCAACAGCAGCTGCCATAGCCGGATAGTTTTTATCGTAATCACGGTCAATTATCTCTTGTAATTTATAGGATAAATTTCTTAATATACACATACAATTTTCAATCGATTTATTGTCAATTTCATTTGATTGTAACGATGAATTAACAGCATGTAATAACGCTGGAATAAAACCGTCACAATCACGCATTTTACGTCGACCATCATAATCAGCTGATGAACAATTTCTAAAATTAAAAAAATTCTTTATAGTTTAACGAAATTTTTCTTAAACGTTGATGAAACTCTTACCTGAGTATTCCTGTGGCATTTTTAAATACTGCTGGGAACTTTCCCTGTGGATTAAGTCGTTGATTAGGGTCAGGATCCCATCCAGAAAATGGAATAATGATATTTTTAACAAGAACCATTAAACCATCATCTAATATTTGACCTTTTAGTGCCTGAAAATAAGTTACAAAACCACATATATTTTGATTATGTTATGAACACCATAGTCAAACGTGTATTACGTACCACTGAGGAAGAAGCATTCCAAAGAACGGCTGTAACTGCTTCGCGAACATCTTCGAACGGTGTACGTCTTAGTAATCGAATTAGTGCGGGTATACCGCCTCGATTTTTTAGTTCAAGCTAAAATGAAAACTATAAATCGTTAATAGATGTTTGTCGAATTATATACCATTATTACAAACCTTATTTTCATCATTTCGTTTTCCATAACATAAATTTCTTAATGCTCCGCATGCATTTTTTTGAATTTCTGATTTTTCATGTTCCAATAAAGCTACTAGATAAGCAATACCATTCAAGGCACTAAAAAGTAAACCGCAACAAACATGAATAAAATGACGATCACTTTGATTTATAAATAAACTAACCGTGTTTTGGCTTTGATTCCATCATCATTGTAGCATAAATGTTGTAAATATGCAGCAGCATTTTCCTTGATAACATCGCTTGTATGAGCAAGATATTCGATTACTTCTTGAAGGTCGGGATCTCTCCAGCGTTGTTCTAGAAAAAAAAATCAATTTAAATAGCAAGTTCTCACTAGAAAAACAACAACTGATTGTTTACCTCGAAATTCAGTGTCAATTGATGGTGAACGATTTCGAAAATCATCTTCACCACCATAGGGTGCATATAAACGACTTAACGTACCGTAGTCTTCACTATAACCGGGAGGTGCTAAAGGTAAGATAAACAAAGCAATGGTTGAGCTACAGTTGCATATACACAAATGTGACTTTAACAGTTACTTGAGAGCATTTTTGACAATGTATTAGCAATAGAAAAAAATAAAATAAAAATTCGCAGTAAAAACGTTTTTTTCTCATCATAACACAATATATTTGTTAGATAAATATTTTTTCAATCAAGGTGATGATATGAATGTTTTTATAATATAGTCTTCTACTGGCAAACAAATGAAAGAAGAAACTCTACAGATGCAAAAGGAATCATGATTAAATTTTTTTATTTTGAAGAGATGTTTTTGTTTAGCTAAAAAAATGCTCACACCTTTATCGTCCGGAAGGACCATGCATGTTCTGATGAGAATAAAGAAGAAAGGGGTATTAATGAATAAGTGACAGTAAGCAAAGCTAGAATTGCATGTGCAAACTCTAAAAGAGAAAGGGTTTCAGTGTGTGTCTTACCATGTCCTATACTATCTGGTGATTGTCGTCCGGCCGTTGCCGTTAAACCACGACCAATATCTTCTCTTCCAGGACCAAGCCCTTCATATGGGTTTTCAACATCTAAATATGGTTCATCCACTAAATTAGGATCATTTGGATCATAATCAATAATTTGTTCGTCGTTACTAACTACAAAAAAATATAAAATACTTTGGCTTTCTTCTATCAAACGGATATGTAGTAGTCATCCTACTTTTGTTATTTTCTGGTTCATTATTTGTTAAATAACGTGTCATATCTGCCGGACGTGTTGTTGATGTTACAATATCTGTAGTATAGCCATTAGTAGAAGTACCCGTATTTTTTGCATATTTTTGTACGGAAGTACGTCCCGATGAATGAGTTCCATTTGAATAGCGGTTTTCATTTGGATCAATTAAACGTCCGATTGTTTTGTCAGTACCACTTAACCCCGTTGCAAAATTTCCTTGTCCTAATGGACTAACACCTTTCCGTCTTAATGCTGCTGAACTAGATGTTCCATTGTTCATTACTGTTTCAATATCGGCATATGTACTACGATCAGTTCTGTGATCAACTTGATCAAATTCATGTTGACGATGAGTTGAACGTTGTGATGAACGTGCAGACGATGATTCTTCGGTACGAGATCGTGTTCTTTCTTGAGATCTGAAGTGAAAACAAATTACGTAGTAGTAATGTGAAGAATTGTAGCGTCATTTCTTAAATAAAAGTTCTATATCCTTACTTGTGTTGTGAAGATGTTGGAGAAATACCATTTGTTGTTGTACTGACGTGTGATGTTGTCAGACCGTTCGTTGGTCCATTTCCTTCGTAAAAAACTTGCTCATCGGACCATGTCGCATTTGGTTCTCCGTATTCATTTATTAATGCCTGATATCTGGGATCATCTTGTCTTATTATTTCACCCGTTATCGGATCAATTAGATGTCTATGAACACGTGTTATCGTTTGAATTTTGGTGACTTTTGATACTTGTTGTGATTCTTCTTTTTTTCGTACAACTTTTGTACCATCTGGCGTTGTTTCTTCTTCAACCGTTGTTGTTACTTTCACTGTATTTGACTGAGGCGTTTGTCCACCATCTCCATCTGATTGATACGTATATGTATAAACATACTGTTCCCGTTGAGGGTCTTCCATTGTCTCGCCGGGCATTTAATAACCGAATATTATTTAACAATGTTCAACAAGCTAAAATAAAAAAGTGAAAACTCTATAGACGTGTGTATGTAATGTGTAGTGTAGCATAAAGAAAGGAAAGAAAATGAATGTAACGAAAGGAAAGGTCAACGAAAAAGATATGGCAAATGTCACGTCTTAAGACAGTCAGTTAAAATAATCAATATGATCTTTTATTATTTGCAAGAAACGATATCTGATACCCGAGTAACATTCGAATTTGTCAACAACACAAGTACTTCTTTTTTTTTAAAACATTGTCTTGTTAAGAGTACTAGAGTATGATGTAATAATAGAGCATTCCACACTTGAACACGAAATGTAATAAAGTTTTTTTAATAATGAGTGTATGTGTGTATATATAATCTTGTTCGATCGAATAGCGGTGATGGTGATGTGCATATGAACATGCGGAAAAAAAAGGAAAAAAAGGAACTGAGCGTATATATGTGAATATATATATATATATTGTGTATATAATGAGCATTCAACCGAAATATTTGATGTTTTAAGGTCATTTCAAAAGAAGTCAACTTTATATTGTGGATACAACTTCTTACTGATGCTATGTCGGAGAACAAGATAAAAATAAAAAAAGGCCAACTATTATACATATCATCAATTTTTATGCGTTTGACGTAGTCATAACTCACATAATGGAACTCAAGATACCCGAGGATTAAAACTTACCACTAGTAGTATTTTTACATTTGTAAAACGTAGATAAACAATCACTCTGTTTTTGCCTCAACAAATGTTGATATTTATAAAAACACCAAAAAGACATTTGCATCACAAAACCCTAGGTAAATATTCCTTCTACTCAGGTTAATCTAGTTCCAAAAGTTGTTTTTTGCTCAGGGTCCCACTCATTGATGGTGAACGAACATGCTCGAAATAGATTCGTCTGTCCTTACTGAATTAACAAAACATTTCATAGCGAAAGGAGGTTCTGCTAATGGACTCTTAGAACACGGCCAAACGATTATGTGCAGTGTCCAACAATTCCAATACACATTTCGACTAAAACTGCCCAATCAACTCTCTGACTTAAAACGAGCAATATATTTGCCAGACAAATTATATTGTTTTTGTTATGAAGTAATAATACAAACATATTTATCTTAATTTAAATAGTGACGACTGGTTTTAGATTAGATAATTCATGTACTCTATATACATCATGCATATGTTCTATATAAGATAATCAGTTTTAATACCCAGACCAAACACTTCATTCGACCATTACCATCACCACGATCACAATCCAACAACGAAACAAGAAAAAATAGACAAAAAATGTCTGTAAGGTACATAAATGATTTGATTCTATATACACCATATGAAAGATGTTTATCTATATAGTCGATATATTATTTGCCATATAATCTCTTCTCTCTGTCTTTCTCTTCTAAAGTACTACTAATGCGGAAACAAATTATACTATACATTTATATTCATATTCATATTCAAAATGTATTTCACTTTAATGTAATATAATGAGAGACGTAAGGTCATATTCTGTCGATCTCAGACACTATCATAACTTCATTATTTAACATCAATATTGTATTCTGATTATATTTTTCAAGTATAAAAAAAAATATATTACATATATCAACAGGCCATCTAATAGAGAAAGTAATGATCGATAGTATATCTACCGGAATTTTCCTGAAATTTTTATAAAATCGATAAGTTACATTTTGTTCTGATGTATTTATGTAACTCCTACGATCTTATTCACTCAAGGATAATAAGTGTCAAAAAAGCGACAAATTTCACTTCATTATACACTAGTTGACTTCATTCACTTAAAAATGTTACGATTTTGATACGCATCACAAGATCTCAACAATCTTTAAGATACACATACATAGACTTTTATACGCTCAATGAAATTAATGCATTAGAGAACTTACTATTATTTTTTTCTCGATTGATAGATGAAGAGCAGAAGGAGAAGAAGAAAAAAAATACAATTCAAATGTTTCTAAGTGTACATTTCATTGAAATATGCAATAAAATATTTTAACAAATTATATATAAATCGTGTACATACATGATATTACGATAATCAAAGATATATAATTGTTAATATAGTAGAAATTCAACTATATTAGCGTAAGATTTATGTTTAATCCTTGCGTGATATTAATACTTTAAACTTGAAAAAAATAAAAAGGGAAAAGAATGTCAAAACACTCCACCCAACCATTAGCTCAATACACTGTATCATATAACATTGGAATATATCTTTTTCTTTCTAGTAAAACTTTGTCAACCAGTTTTTTTTTTTTGTGTGTGTGTGTTCTTTCTTTTCACTACTGTCAAATATGAATTTTTTTGATCTTTCTACCGAAAACTCAAGTGTTTTATGAAGAAGAAAAAAAACCAGAAAATGAAAATTCAATAGATTTTTGACCTTTGAATTGAGGGGAAAAAAATCACTTGAAACATCAGTGTGACTTTTTTCTGGAAAAGATCTATGATCTTCTCGTATTAAACACAATCTTCATAAAAGAAATTGAACATTATTATGACATAGAACTTTCATATCTCGTTTTTAAACTTAGATAAATAACTTTTAAATAAATGAGAATGGATGTTGTCACGTTGACTTTACACATAAAAAGAAAAGAGAGATTTTATAAGATACAAAAAAGAATGCGAACAACATTCAACTATAAACAAGAAAAATTCTATTTGTCTATCCGTTCAGTAAAAATGAAGCTAAAAAAACTATACATAAAGAGAAGAAAACGAAGTAATACTCTAATCAAATTGTTTCTTTATCGTTCGTTATACAAAACATAAGAAATTTGAACAAAAATTTAAAAGAATGTGACTTACTGCTGAAATTTTTCAAAACAACGAAACAAAAACACAAGCACGTTTACAAATGTCAATTTGTTTACTTTAAACTCTTTACGATGAGGTAAGCAAGACGCCTTTATATAGTATGCATATATATGAAAAAGAAACCCTAAAAACAAAACATAAAAAATGAAACAGAGATAATATGATGGTTTTTTTCCTGTATATATGTGTGTTCAATATGTAGAGTATCGTGTGTTCAACATATATATGTATATATATATACACACACACACACACACACACACACACACATACACGTCTGTATGTTAAATTCGAGGCGTTGATGTTTATCCTTATGTAAATCAACATTTTCTATTCCGTCACCACTCAAAGATCTATTACTAATACTGTAGACATTTACTCAGAATATAGAACAATACTTCAATATAATTATATTTTTCTTTTCTTATTTTATGGAAAAATTGAATTCGACTAAAATCTCAAATAGTCTACATTTTTAGGACATTCAGTTGAACGAATCCGTTTAAACATAATATCCTTTTAGTGTCGTTAAATATAGTTGATATAAAATGGAATTTATCGAAGTATACTTTGGTTGACTAAGTTTTAAATTATAATGAATTTTAGATAAAGGATGGCCCAGAAGTTCTCGACTCGATTTGAATAATAAATTTTTCTATAGTGAAACAAGTGATAGTAAATTTGTCTCTATGAAGAAAAGATGCAGTAAAAAATGCTCTACAAGATGACTATTGATTGACTCCGTTAGCTCATCTAGTAAAAATGTTGTAGGCTTAGAAATGTGCTTCACAAAAAGGAAAAATCAACCGTGAATCTGGTCTCGGTATTTTTGCTTTAACTCCTGTTCCGTAGGTCCCCTAGAATAAGTCCTTTTTTTAATAGAAGCGTCGTGAAATTCTCTACAAAATCCGTACCTAAACTTTAATTTCAGAACTTCAATCAAGAAAAACTAAGCAAATTATACACGAGGGGACTTTGGAAAACTTTGTAAATTTGATTTGTTTTACTTAACCTTCTTCTTCTTCTCCTATTATTTCCGTGAAAAAAGCGGAGCAAAAACGAGAACACAATTTGTGTTGGGTACTTTCAAATGTGCTCTTTCTTGTGGTTTGTAAAAAGACTTTTGCTCGAGAATCGAGTTTCAAAAATATGTCAGAAATCGACAACCCTGTTTCCAACAGTGTACCCAGCAAGAAGCGGAAAACGTGATCGAAGTTTTGATGTTGCAACTAGGTAGAGAAGAGCAATCATTTCTGAACAAAGCAAAACAAACACGATCGAAAAACGTTTTGTTTTGAGGAAGTTATGGGACTTTTACTGAAAGCACCGCCACATGAATCGGGTTCACGATTGATTTTTCTTTTGTGAAGAACATTTCTAAGCCTATAACTTTCTTACTAGATGAGCTAACGGGGTCAATCAATAGTCATCTTGTAGAGCGTTTTTTACTGCATCGTTTCTTCATAGAGACAAATTTACAACCACTTGTTTCACTATAGAAAAATTTATTATAAAAAAACGGGGCAGGACTTCTGGGCCACCCTTTATATATATATATATATATATACGATCGATTTATTTTACTTCCTATACAATAGTTAAAAATAAGACATTCAGTTTTTATAATGAACTTAAAGACAAAAACACTTATAAATAACACTCATCATTGAAAGAATTCGCATTATCCAAATTTACTATAATAAACAATCAATGAAAGAACAACTTAACATTTTTTTTCTTTTTATGTTTTTTCTTTTTATCAAAGACTATACAATCAATATGTCATCATTCAATTTGTTTTTCTATCTTAGATTTTTTTTTAGCAAATTCATTTAAACGAGTGATAAATAGATAAGATGAAACTAAATATTTTGGAATCCCTACGTAGAAAAATATCTAACAATAATGTACACCTCCTAGTCTAGTGTTCAATAGATAATACAGAAATATACTGAATAATGTCTTTTTATTCATTAATCATTTGATCGCCTTATCTGTTTGCTGTCAATAGACAAAATCGTCTTAATATGCTATTTCTATCATTGATCATACTTTTGATGACAGATACATTTTTTCACTACATTGACCAAACTTCAGACTCAATTTTTTCATCAAACTTGGTGCTACAATTTCCGGTTCTTAATTTATCAGTATAGAAAAAAAAAAAATCATCTTTTGTCAATTTAGTTTTTATCCGTCATGCATATCTAATAATAACAATATCCTGTGATCTATAATCAATCATAATCATGAACATTTTATAGTTTGAAATGACCTTTAAAGAAGGAAAAGACTGATGAACACTGACAATATAGAAAAAAACGAAAAAAGGAATTTCGTTGAAAAAGGAAAAAAAAAAGGAAATTTCCACTAACCAGATGTTTTCGAAATATTATCATAAATAAATATTCTAAAGTCTAGTCTCACCATATCGACTTATTCGTATCGTTTCACCAATCTTCTGTACATAATTTCATATTTAGAAATAATATTTCTTCTTCTTTTCTGCCTGATCATGCGCATACATCGTATAGCTAACTCATTACATTAAAATAGTACGCGTTTTCTTTTTTTTTTACTATAATAGACCTTTTCTTTTTTTTCTTCTTTACTCGTTTTTATTTTTTTTTTTTTTTACTAAATCAGCAAATGACCGAACGAAACAAAAACAAATGACGTCCGACGGGAGAGAGAATTGAGATAGATGAGGGTGGAGTGGAGTGTTCATTTCCCTTCTTTTTGTTGCTGGTGTTTAAAGAGAAGAACGTGTTAAAAAGTACATGCCGCTAATAGGAAAAAAAAAGAAATGAGACAACTCTCTTTCTCATACTACTACTCATTTAGTTGAACATGAACTGTATACAGACAGTAGTTTCGAATAGTGTGCACATATTTGTTCAACAAAAAAGAGAATAGAGAATATGTGATTAGATGATCTATACCATATGTCTTAATGTGTATGATGTCTAGGCAAGAATATCTACAATGAAAAAAATTCGTTTTTCTCCTCATTTACAGACGCAATTTGTTTGTTTCATTATAGATTTTCTTTCTTAAAAAAAAAAGAAAAAATGAAGGAAAAGAAAACAGGGGATAGAAATTCCCATCGCTACTGTTAAACGATATTGATGGTGACGTTCATCTGGCTTCATCTACTAATTGAACATTTTCTTCTTTGGCATAAAGCCATTACTGTGTACGTTGAACGCGTGTATGATAGAAAGAAAATACATTTTTTTTTCTTTTAAGTGGCTAGATGTACTAAGATATATTCAGGCAACGTGTGTCAACCGTAATATAATCTTCTAAAAGATTGAAAAAAAAAATCTCCAAATGTCGCTATAGTTAATGTGTCAAAATTATTTTAAAAATAAAACAAAAAATTAAAATAGAGTTCAAAGCTATTTAATGAAATGTAAAATGTATACACACATACATACACAAGTACTATTTCCGGTGCGTTTTGACATCTTAACAATTAAAAAAACCATTAAAAAAAAATAATAATAATTTATCGATTGCCGTCGCCTTTACAATTTGAACCTTGAAAAAAACATTATCATTATTAAAATGTATCTGTTTACGTTCAAAAATATATGGCGACTATTCAGAGTTTCTGATGAGTGTAAAGCATATATATATAACTAACTGCTTGTTCAATATTGTTTATTTCATAAGAATTCACTATTGAATTTATGATTATGATTGTATTGATTCGTTGTACATCCCGTTTAAGTTCCTATGTATAACCGCTTATTAAATACTTGCACGACAAGAAGCAAGAGGTTACCCATAAACAATTCCTTTGAAAGAATTTTGAACTTTTTCATTCGGTTATACCTCTAAATCTCGATTTTCGTTTCTGATGAATGAATATATATCTTTATGTTACGAGTAGAGTGAAGCACTCAAAAGTTTCAACTTAGCAGTAATACAATATATGTGTCGAAAAGGATGCCAATAAAAGTCTAATTTGAGTAAGGATGCAGACACGACTCTTACTTGTAGAAAAACAGGAATTGACTACAATTACAATTTGATTTGTGGTTCACAGAGGTGCTAAGTGACCAGCCACGATACTGATAGATATTCATTGCCACAAAAACTAGAAATAATGTTGCTACATGGTAAATTGAGTAAACAAAAAAAAAGTAAACGTATAGATAAATAAACAAAGCGAAAGATGGAACGAGAAACCATTTCAATAGTAAAACTATACTTATCTATCGCCTGATACAGAATAGATTTTGTTTATGTTTTAATTTCTTTATAAAGAATCATCCTACAAAACTTTGATTTTAATCAAAAGAAATCTATTTAAAATCTTTTCTAGAGGTCGCTAAAGTTGACCTGTTTTGCTTGTTGATTGGTCATTTACGTTTATCCAATATTATGAGTTATGGAAAAAACTCGAAAATCGAAATTTCAAAGTAAACAAAGAAAAGGGAAATAAAATGAATGAATGAACAAAACAACACCAGATCAAATTAAAGAGTACTATAAGAAAGCAATTGTCATCGATTTAAATTTTTCTCTTTGTTTGTTATGTATGAAAATTCGTCCAAATTACACAACATTTTATTACACTGATATAATGTTATTTATATGCTAAAGGTAAACTTTATATTAATCTATAAGAATAGTAAATGAGAGTTGTTGTGACTTGCAGAGAGTCTAGCGAATATTTTTCCAAAAAAGTTTCTAAAAGTCCGATAAAACAAGGCTTCCAAATAATTATCCGTCTGATACTGTACTTCTTTGTTGTGAAATATTTTATAAATCTTCTGGCTTGCTCGAAAGTTTTTACATTGTTTGAGAGCGTCCTATATCGTCAACGGTGAATAAATGATTTATTCACGAAAAGTGAGAGTCATCAAAGGTCCCCGATCTATAATAACAATAACTCAAGCCAAACAACAACAAAAAGAATCTATAAATAGAAAAATCAAAAGTAAACTAGTGTACGAAACAGAGAGATAGAAAAGAAAGAATAAAAACAAGAAAACAAATCCGCAAGGAGAAGTATTCACTTCATCTTTTTCCAAATGATCTGTGGTTTTGAAGAAAATATACGTAATTTCGTTAACAAATGCTGATTCCAGTTTTCAAAATGAGATATGTAGTGTAATGAGAATTTTACGCAAAGTGGTTTTCTACAGTTTACCACTGCATTTGTCATGTTTTTTCCGCTAAAAACAGAGTACAAATTAAATTTTCAAAGTAAAACACCGCTTTGCTCACCACCGATCATTAGAAACGCTGAATATGAATCAGATGTATACGATATTCGGTTTAGCAATAACAAGCTTTTTACTGCAAACTCCAGATATACTCCACAGTGTTTCTAATGACAAACAAAGTATACGTATACCTTAAAAATTTGAAAATACATTTTGTTGTACACTTTGATTGAAAAACAGTACAGCGACGTACCCAAAATTCCAATAAGGGATGTGGCAAAGAAAAAAGTTCTTGGTTCTATTTGTCTAAGCGGACTTGATATACGCTAGTAACTGTAAATAGTTCTTTGAAAATGTATACTGTGGTTTATTAACTATGTTTTCTTTTAACTAGCAGAATAACTATTTTGATAAGGTTTTTTGAAGAATATTGATCTAATGTTTTGGATGTGTTAGGAAGCCTTTGTTCATTTGCGATTGTCTTAACTATGAAAGTGTCATCTACCAGATTTTTTCCATATTATTCGTATGGCAAAGCTCGTTTGTTTATGCAATACACGCGGTTTTTCTTCTCTATCTCATAAATTGCTTGAACAACGATAGAGATTAGGAGAAACAGAAATCTTTCAGTTTAATGTTTTGTGTATAGAGAGTCGATTATCTAACCTTAACAGAGCGATAAAATTGATCAATTGTGCTAACAGCTAGTGGAGTTTTGGGATGTTTATCGATTTAAACGACAGAATGAAGATTGGTTAGATAGAGGAGACATGACAATGTGATGAAATTTGTTGTGCTTTTTTTTAATTTGTTTTGACAGACATCTACAAACAAATATCGTAAATTGCACTATTTTGACAATAATTATGAGGTAGTCATTATTGCTCATCTTGTGATAGCTTACTTTGGTCAAATTTTGCTTATTACAATATAAGATTGTGTATATAAAGAAACAGACAAAAGTATAAAATAAACATGTTTCAAGCATATGTTTACAGTTACCTTTTTATCAATAAATAGTCTTTGTTTGTATGTATTCAACAGACAGATGAGTTGAAATTCTTGGCTGATGTTATAAAAATTTCTCGATTTTTCTATACATTAGTTTGAAGCATGCTCTGCCCTGATTACTCTGTTCATCAACGAGAAAGAAACAGCTTCTCAATTAGATATAAACTTAACTTATGTTAGTTTAAATAGAAATGGTGTTCATTCTTTTACTCTTGTACGACTTTTTTGTTTTCAAGACTTGCTTGTGCACTATTTTGATTTCTTAGTTTCAATGGCATGCCTTCAGTTTGTTTAATATTTGTTTTTTTTGATAATACTGCAGGAATTTTTTCTGGAAAATCTGCTAAATAATTCCATTGTCTCAGATTATGATCATATTCAGCGATGACCATACTTAGAAAATTAATTTCTTGACGTTTTTTATTTTCAATATCACGTAAATATTTTAATTTATTATCGATTTTGTCAATGTTTAACATTGCTGCCAAGATTGCGACACATGGACGATGTGTTATAATCAAAATTGTTTCTGAGTTATAATTACTTAATGCAGAATTTCTCATTACTTTCGTTATTATACGTTTTAGCATCATATACATTCGTCGATAATAATTTAGATGATTTTCTCTCATTATTATTTTTGTGTTCAAAGGAGAGAGTAATGGTTGATATTTTAAATCCATATTAAAACCATTTTTATAATAATAATCTGGAGGCTGTAATGGTAAATGTTTCCGACTTGGCTCATGTAATGCTAGATCAGAACGTATTGGTATTTTTAAACGTAAACCTAAACCATCTAAAACAGTATCGGCTGTTTGAATGCATCTCATTGCTGGTGATGAATAAACTTTTGTCGGTAATAAATTTAAAGTTCGAAAAAATTCTCCTGTATGATAGGCATGATTTTTTCCATGTTTTGTTAATGGTGGATCAAGAGAATAATCATACGGATTTTGTCTAGTTGGTAATAATGTGAGCATTTGACTGTTCATTGGTTGATAAACACCATTTGTATCAAATGCTTCTAAAGGCCAGTTGGAATTTTTTAAGATAGCATCGAGACGTTCAGAGTGTCTCATTATAATTATTCGAGAAGGTGATTTGTTTTGGCTCATTTTTTATGTTACGTAAAATGTCTATGTATGTATAATTACTGTTGTATTGACATATTATCAGAAATAGTGAAGATCATTAGAGGTTTGCATGTCTTCCGTTTATTGCTCATATTTATGACAGCAGGTGATAATCAGTCATGCATGTCTCGTTTTTTCGTTAAGAAAATAGGTGGTAGTACAGCTGTTCGCAAAGAAAAAAAATGTTGTTCCCTTATCATAAGTTCATTTTATATCTGTATTCCAATTTGATAACCTTCAATTTTAATGTTTATTTCATACATTTTTCTTCTGAAACTAAATGAAAATTATGTTTTCTTTTTTTGTAAACAGCTGTATATATGCAAAAAGAGAATCACGGAGGTAGAAAGACATTTAGCTCACAGGAGTAATTAGATAAATTTTGTTTTTTATCATAATTAATTTGAATACGTATGTTTGTTTTCAAAACTTTTGTTACAAATGTGAGAGAAGAGTAAACAACATGTTCCTGATACCATAATACGCCTTACAGGGTGATCCATAAGTTTTGGACCCTCTCGGTAGATTGACATTATCTATATGAAATACATATAATAAGATTCAGCTGTTTTTTTTGCAAAAGTTTCTCCATTTAATTCTCTACAAAATGATATACAGGAGATGATTCTGAGAGTTGAGATGTCATCGTAATTGAACCGAAATCGAAATGTCCTAAAACTTTCACTGCCCTAAAAACGAAGAATGTATTTCGTCAGTATAAGCTTGAACGTATGCGCTGTGCCCACATCGAATAGGCAAAAACGTAGCCCTTGGAATTCTCTATCGAATGGCTATAATGCTAATTTTCTGTTGTTATTTCCGTGTTTTCAATAATGCTTTTTATAAAAGCCTGTAAATGTTTTTTTGATCTGTATTTTGGAACTGTTTGTAAAATGAACGGTGCTCATTTACAAATGAATGAATCAGACTCATTCTTGTATCATTTTGAAGAGAAATGTTTTGTCTATTTGATTCACATACGAAATGTCTGATGTCACTTCCCTCAAAACAATGACCAAAAGGTGATCAATAAGTTTCGGTCCCTCTGGAAAAAAATGCTTTTTTCATTCTTCATGTCAATTCAAAAAAGCTCAAACGTTTAACATTTAATCTCTTACAACTAGATGATTATTACTGTAGATTTTTGTTTTTTATGTCTCTAGCTCTATTAGTAAGGAAGATATATAAACAACGCATGTACAGAAAACGCGGTTTTTCGTTCCTTGGAACACTGAAAGTTGTGGGACATTTCGATTTCGGTTCAATTACGACGGCATCTCAACTCTCAGAATCATCTTCTGTATATCATTTTGTAGAGAATTAAATGGGGAAACTTTTGCAAAGAAACAGCTGAATCTTATTATGTGTATTTCATATAGATAATGTTAATTTACAGAGAGGGTCCAAAACTTATGGATTATCCTGTATTATCTCTACATAACAGGTAAATATTTCTTTGAGACCTAAAAGATCTTTTCTAGATCTATTTGTAAAGTTTCTTTCTCTCTTGCGTAATTACATGATAAAAGATGTTTTCCTACGTATTAAGAAATGTTCTATATATTTTTTTTTTATTGCTAAGAAAATATCGTCGACATTGTTTCAAAGAAAGGCAGAAAAAAAACTTGTATTTTGTTCTTTTTTCTTATTTTCAACATTCTTTCTCTATCGATTGTAGTACAAAACGGCAACTTTCAAATCGGACGTGTTCGGTTTGTTCGTCTAACGGTTGGACATGGAAGATAAAGGAGAAAAAAACGTTTTTGCCGTTTTTTTTTTACCAGTATATACATCTATCGTGACTATACTGTAAGAAAAAAAATGAGAAAAAAAAATTGTCGTTGTTGATCCGTTCGGTCGATGTATGTGTTACTCTTATTCTTTTGCTTGTTCTTATCTTATTCAAATAAAGCTTATTTTTTTGTTTGTGACGAATGTCGAGCAATCGTGAAAAAGTAATTTTCAAAGTTGGATATTTGTATTTGTTTTTTATTTTGTTTTGCAAGAATAACTATAGTCATCAGGTCGCCAAGAGTGTTAGTGGAGCTAGTTTATCAAAATATATTGAATTCAATCACGTGTAAGCTATTTCTATGTTAAAAAATATTATTTTTTTTCTATAAAATTTTTTCATGTGTTTTCAGATCTGTATAGTTGCAAAGTAAAATTTCCTCTATTCAATAATATGTGGGAGCATCTAGTTTTATACGATTTCATTGTCTTCAAAGTTTCAGGTGCTTTTTTTTTTAGTTGGTAAGACAGAAGTAAAACCTGGCGAAAAACAGTGATGTATTGCTCTGTGGAAAAAGATGAAGTAACAAAAATCTTACAACTTTTATGTTATAATCAAATTTTTGTATTCATAATTATGTTCATCCGACTAGATAAGATCTTACTCTTGTACTGTCATTTAAGGATTGTAATTTTGTGAGCTGTTAACTTTCAGTTTATTCTTTTTTAAAAACTGAGCAAACTACTGGTTGATCTAAAGAGCAAAAAAACTTAGTCGTATGAGCTCAAACTCGCTATCGGATCTGAATCAACATTTGCTTATCGTAATGCAGGCCCGTAGACAGGGGGGGAGTGCCCACTGTGCCCAGGCACACCCCTTTGGATTCGCTGTAAACTCCGACTGAAAAAAAATTTTCATAATAACTTGTGACCTGTTCAGACAGAGTAGTTGTCAACTTCTGACGCTGTGAGCGATGATATGCATAGCTCACCTTCAAACCGGTGTGAAGACCCTTTTGCGTCCTGTTAGTTTTCTGGACCGGTCTCTGTTGCCCATATCGGAATCCAAACCGGTACAACAAAAAGAAACAAAATGCAAGAAAACTTATATATCGATTTTCATCTATAGTGCACTCCTCTTAGTAAAATCCTGACTGCGGACCTGTCATAATGTTGATACTGCTTCCTATGAACAATGTCTATTGTATATTTGTGATGATAAACAGAAAATAGTTATCTAGATTTCGAAACAAAAAAAAAGAAAAAAAGAGTAATGATTATATGACAATATTATCAAAATTATAATCAAACTGTATTTATGACTTGATTGACAGTTCACCTTGAATAAATATGACTATTTCACTAATAAAAAATGGCAGTTAGTTCGTGTCCTTTATATCTTTCCCTAAGAGAAGGCTGTTTCATACCCACGACAAAAAAAAAAAATTAATATTTTACCTTGAATGATGTGCATCTTAAACAGAATTTTTAATGTAGGTGTAAAAAAATGCATCAATACATTTTCGTTTTATTTAGCTCGCGCCATGATTACAATATGTATACATCTTATTTTCTTTATAGATATAAAAAACAACGGCTCAATTCGTATTGTTTTTATTTACAAGAAATCATCATCGTTCGTAGTAGTTTCAAGATAGTTCAACAAAAATATACATATACATATATATATATTGTTAAATAAGAATAATAACAATAATAAATATACATTCCAGTGTCAACGGTAACAATCGATCTCAGACAAGAAGTTTGAACGGTAATTAATAAACAAGTCTGAAGTTTTTTACATGTTTCTATCGAAATTTGATTTGATGAATGATGTCAACAAATAAAATCAGCTTTGTTAATGACAGGCTGTACCACATGAAAAAGAAAGTAAAAAAAAAAAAAAAAAAAATTTAAAGTTGATGTTTTATACTTTTCCAATATCGTAGATAGAAAAGCCTTCTCATGCTCCAGTGCTCTTTTCTTCAAACGCAACAGAGTTGCAAAAGATATGAAAAATATGTGTGAATTGATTTCGGAAATGTTCTCCGTGATTTTTCATTCCCTAGTTTGAATTGCTAGTCTAAAGCTAAATGACTTTCAATTTAACTCGTAAATTTTATTTAAACCATCTCATTTTTAATTTCGCGTAAATATTTAGGGTATAACAGTTATACTCATTAGAGTTTGTGGGGATCTTTTGAATTATTACTTCAAAGCAAGATGGCAGTGCAACTTTAAACAAACATTTTCTCACTCGATACAATAGTTTTCCTTTCTTCTCTCATGATCACAATCAGTTGCACTTGCTCAAATTGTTTATGTGAGAACAAAGTGAATGCGTATATTTATATTCGAAATATCAAGAACAGAGAGGAAGATATATACTTGATTCAAATATGCTTAAGGTTGAATATGAGCCAATTTGAAAAATAATTACCATTTTTGTCCAATGAAAGTGGTATCGTCTAGATAAGAAATTTCTTTGCTATCCCAACGGTTGGTATATTTAATCAAAAAAAAGGTCCATATTAGCAGAAACGATATATCATTGCTCAAATACAATTGGAATTTCTCTCTATATATACCTTCTTTCCTCACATTGAGAAATTTTTTTAGTGAATGCTTTATTCCTGTGTATCCCAGGACCAAAAAACGTAAATTATCGATTAGCAATATGGTCTTGATCGAAGGATGCACTGTGTTTGACATATTTTTCTAATAATTGCATCTCGTCCTCAGCGCAGTGAGATACATTCAGCGTACGTGACTATGTGGTTTAAGGAACATTACCTTTATACCACAAGAAAAATCTTTTTTTGCTGCTTATTCTGACGTATACAGAATATTCGAAAAATAGATTTGATGACATAGATCTTAGTGACATTAGATACCTACCTATTTGACCATGTTTAATTTAATTTTAAATATTTAGCGTTTGAAAATGACAAAAATATATTTATAAAACGATTAAAAAAAATTTGAATCGATAGCAAAAATCACTGAATTAAATGTCGATTGTCTTGATTATTAGTTAGACCAAAACGCTTTTAACAGTGAACATTAAAAATTAAAAGTTTCTTTTATTTGCGTTTAAGGTAGATTTAATAATATTAATTTTTTTTCTTCTTTATTTTATTCTTTGATCTTACTGACGATGTCAAACAAATTTTTTTATTGATGAGCCATTGTAAATTATGAGTCACCCCAGC